ATAGGGGGAGGGGCCCCGGCCTTGGCCGAAGCGTCCCTAGCCTGCCGCGGTGGGGGCGGGGCTCGGGGCGGGGCTATGTGGAGCAGGCAGGCGGGGCGGTGTAGCTGAGAGTGGCCCCCTGGTGGGGCAATGGAGAAGCTGGAGCCTCCCGGGGCAGCTGGCAACCTCACCCTGGAACCCCCTGAAGGGGCAACCAGTGGAGTGCCAGTAGGCATCATAGGAGTCGAGGCAGGTTCTGGGCGCTCCATACACTCCGGAGGAATAATAATTAGAAGTCCTGATTCTAGCTGGCCCTCTGAGGTGGTAGCTGTTCACGGTTCCAGGCCCAACCACCATCCTGGGGAGGTTGTGGGTCACAGCCTTGCGGCTGGCACAGGCCCTGGCGGATTTAATCCCCTCTTTCCTGGAACCAGTGTATCCGGGACATCCGGCTTTCGATCCACGGGGCCTGGGGTGCACAACTCGGGATGCAGCCCGCGCTCCGGGTCAACTTGCTTGCACCCCCACAAACCCTATGAGGATCGGCCCCGTAGCATCCTAAAACACTACAGCTCCACCTTGATGCATAAATCCCCCAGTGTGGAAAGGTAAGGATCCCAGTTCAGTTTGCAGGAGGCAAGGAGCAAGGAGGGAGGGGTTCCGGACACCGGAGGGGGCGGAGCCAGGAGGGAAGGGGCGGAGTCCTGAGAACTAGAAGTGAGGGTAGGTGAGGGCAATTGAATGGGAAATGTGAGGTTCCCAGTCTTTGGAGAGCAGCAGGTACTGGATAAACTCTGGCTACATAGGACGTGATTATCATTAGGTGTGACCCCCATCCCCAGCCTCCTATGCCTCTGGAAGGGCTGGAGGATAGAAGAAAGTTTTTGAATGACCGAAAGAATTAGGGAGGACTGTGAGGAGAAGGTCACTAGAAGATTTCCTCCCCCTTTTTTTGTGTCCTTCCCTGACTGCAGGAAAAAGTCTCAACACTGGGATGAAATGAATATCATGGCCACTTACCACCCTGCTGGCAAGGACTATGGATTTATGAAGGTGGATGAACCTAGCACTCCCTACCACAGGTGCTGAGCCTTCATCCCTAGTTCAGCCCAGACTCTCTTCCCTATTCAAAGGAGGGGACTAGGGGGTGGGGAGAGCAGAGAGGCCTCAGCAACTGGATACTGCCTGATGTCCCCCTCTCTGCACTGCTTCCTCCCTCCTCTGCAGGCTACAGGACAGTGATGAGCACCTGCTCCCAGGGCCCTCCCACACAGTGACTCCTGAGGCACTAACAGAGAGGTGAGAGTCCTGCCAAAGATCAGTAGAGGTGTGGGGTGTCTTTGTCCCTCCACTCCTGAACTCTGGGATCTGAACCAGCTCTGCTTTTTGGCCCCCCAAATGGGAGGCACTACATTTCCCATCAGGCCAAGGCCAAAGTGGGGGGATCAGCCAGCTTGTCCCCATCTACCACCTTCCCCCATTGTTTTCTCCTTTTGGTGTCCCCAATTAGACTCCTTCCCCTTCAGGTTGGCAACAATGGACAGTTTATACCCCAAAGTCCTTCAGTACGGTGATAACAGAAGCTCAGGGTCTTCAGACAGCTTTTCTAAAACATGTAAGATGAGAGGTGGGGAATGAATGGAAAGGGGAGGTGGAATGAACCTTCTTCAAGAGTATGGCAGGAAAGCTGAGCTCTTACACTGGCCCACAGACTCCAGTGATTTTGAGAAACGACGCAAGGCACACTACAATGAAGGAAAGTTCCTCAAAACTCAGAAAAACCTGCCCTTGGATAATAACAAGAACAGCAATGGGTATAGTGAAAGTTTGGGCAGCGGTGGTCAAGGTGTGATGCTGGGCCCAGGGTCCAAGCCTGTGGAGAGAGGCTGGGCTGGAGGACTAGCCAGAGGAGTCAAAGATGAGATTGGCCTGGTGACCAGGAACCAGATCCCAGAAGCCAAGGGTTAGTAGCTATGGTGGGGCCCCAGGGACTCAAGGGAATGTAGTCCAGAGCCTTTTTCCTCAGTGGGCATGGATTGGCCAAGGGCCCTGCTGCCCGAGGGGGAGGTAATGCTGGGAGGTGACCCCAGGGAAGACAGAGGGGCAATTGGGGTGAGTTCCTCATCAGGATAGTCCCCAGGAAAGTCTGGCTGGTGAGGAACAGAAAACCCAAGAGACCTGTGGGGGATGGAGAGATCACTAAAGGTTTTCTAAACTGGAAGGAGGTAATAGAAGTGAGATGAGAACCTGAGGCTTGAGCTTTTCCCCTGTGGTGGTGGGTGGGTCACAGTGGACACCTGGGAGATCTGGATACCCTAGGTGGCCATAAGACTCAGATTAATTTGGGTGACTCCTCAGATTCCTCTGCCTTCAGAAATCAGTCCCCAGCTTCGACCATCACCATGTTGGAGAAGGAAGCTGATCTGCAACGAAAGGAGTATTATAGCAAACGAAGATACCTGAGGTGTTGTCCTCACCCAGAGCTTGAGGAGGACACGGAAGATGAGCAGGAGGACAGTGAGAGCTGGCGGGGTCAGCCTGGGGGTGGGAGGGCTGAGAACTAACAGACTGATGGGTGCCCCAACCCTGATCCCTTGATGCTTCCAGGCTGTACAAGTTTGAACTGGGTGAGAGAGAATTCCATAAGAACTGAGGTCCGTTTGCTGGACCACAAGAGAAGCCCCCTTCAGGATCACAGGCCATCAAGAACTCCCTGACAGTGACACCACTGCAGTCTGGTGAGGGCACTGGGACACCATGTCACTGGGCCTGGCTCTTGGCAAGCTCCCATCCCCCACCCTCACTCCCTTTAGGCCAGTAGGTCAGCAACAGGTACTAAGGCCATAACCATCCTAGTGTGCAAGGCCCACACTGTACAGAGAGGACCCAGGGAGGATCTAGTGGTTAGGACCCCCTCCAGCTCGACACCATCTGCCGGTTCCAAGCCTCCTCCCCAGCTTCTCTCTGCCACCTCCCCCACTCCTGGTACTGCCCTGTTTTCCAAAGAAGTGGGTGCCAAGCAGTGTCTGGCTAGTGTCTGTGTCTGGCATGTAAGGGGCTGAACAGGCAAAGCCCAGAAAGCTCAGAGAGGGAAACTAGAAGCAACCCAAACTCTCCAAACCAAAATGAGTACAGGTATGAGCCTGGGCAGGGACAAGGGTCTGCCTACACTGGCTAAGGAGGCAGAGGGGCTAAGGGTAAGTCTGAGGGGTCACATGAGCCAGATCTCATGCCTGCTATAAGAAAGCCACTCACCCAAACCCTCCTCTCTCCAGATGAATCCCTGCGGCTTTGATGGACTCAGGAGGAGGAAGCCACACAATAGAAAATGTAGCCAGCTGGAGATGGGGAGGGACCCAACTTCCCCTGCCCTCACCACCCTAGGGGTGGAAAATAAAGAGAAGAAGAGCAGGAGTCTGGGTGCTGTGAATTGGGGGCCCAGCTGGACCTGCTCAGTTGCTGAAGAGAGGAGGGAGGGGAGTTCACACACAGGAAACCACGAGCAGCCAGAGCGGAGAAGAAAGTTCAGAGTAGTCTGGGGGACTGGAGTCCAGAAGATCTTCGGAGTCTGAGAAGGCCCGGCCGCAGCAGGACGACAATGATTGGTGTGATTCAGTCAACCATAATTCACTAGTATCATCTTTAATTCTTACAACAACCCTTGAGGCTGGGCTGTCATCCTCATCTTCCAGACAAGGAAACAGGAACCTGAGTGCTTGCCCAGGGTCATGCATCCTCTAAGTGACCAAACCAGGATTTGAACCTATATCTGCCAGGCTTTCAAAACTCAACCACTAAAGGAGAAAGAAGCAGAGAGAGACTTGGCCCCCAGTAGGAAGGTGACATGAGATAGTCTCTGAGGGCGGGGCTGTGGCTTCTCTGATCTCAGGCCCCTCTCTTCAGCCCAGGCCCCGCCTCTGCCCCTCCCAGCGCTGCCTGGAAGTGTGGGGTGAGAGCTCCTAGGACACCCCTTCCCCTTGGGGAAAGAATTGTGACCCCTCCCAGGCTCTTACCCAGAGAGACCACTTTTCTCCTTCCTCGCCAACGCCCCTCTGGGGCAGGAAGTGCCTCCACCTGTATCCCCACCCGCCTGGCCCCAGGATCCACTGGCCTGAAGTAATCAAGCTGAGATGACAGTCAAGCTGGATTTTGAGGAGTGTCTTAAGGACTCCCCCCGCTTCCGGTAAGTGTGGGGGCCAGGGGAGGGGTGGCCCGATACCCCCCTACACACATGCACACGCACACACACGCACACCCCCATACACACACGCACCCTTCCCCAAGCCAGATGTCCTAGAAGGGAATAGGTCTCAAAGGGACAAGATCAAGCTTGTGGGCCAAAGTAGTACCTCTGCTATCAAGTCCAGAGGGGCGTCCAGTCTCTCAGCCCCAGAGCTGGTGTTCCATCCTTCCTTTCACTGGGACCCCTGCCCCTCCCCCAGCACCTGCTCTGGGCGGTTAGCAACTTCCTGCCCTCACCACATCCACCCTCCTTCTACCCTTCCTGTTCTGGCCTGGGCCATAGTAGCTCCCACACTGTGGAGTGAGCGAGCAAAAGAGGGCTGGTGGGTGGGCCTTCTTAACCCACCACCTTTTTCTGTCTGTACCCTCTACCCCCTAACCCCAACCCCTGACCTGACCTTGCCAAGGTGGACAGACCAGATGCACCCAAGCTCTGTTCTCTTGACACCATCCCTCCTTTCCCAGAGCCTCTATTGAGCTGGTGGAAGCCGAAGTGTCAGAATTGGAGACCCGACTGGAAAAGGTGACTCGGGGTCCGATTAAAATGAGAAGGGTGGAACCAGGAAGAAAGTTAGAGACAGAGAATGAGTCCCAGGGATTATTGAATGCTAATTATCTGGGGTAGATGTTGGGGGCAAAGAGAAACAAGAAGGTGGTTCTGTACCCTCAAAGAGCTCGGGATCTTGGAAAACAAGCCTCACTTTTGGACTTACCCTGTCGGCTCTTGAGCCCTGCATCATGCCAGCCCTGGGCTGTTGGGTAGAGCAAGACTATTTCTGCCCAGGAAGCCCACAGACTGACTGGAGGACAAACCAGTAAAATACTAAAATGCGATACAGTAATGCCTTCCCTGGCCCCTCCTTATAAAACAGCACATGCATGTGCAAGTACAAAATACATATACTCCCATTCCCTTACTGGCTTTGTTTTTCTCTACAGCATTTATCTCAATCTGACATAACATATTTACTTGCTGTATTAGTTTTCTATTGCTGTATAATCAATTATTACAAATTTAATGACTTCATACATATTTTTTATCATAGTCTCGGTGGGTCAAGAGTTGGGGACAGCTTAGCTGGTCCTCTGCTCAGGGTCTCACAGGCTGCAGTCAAGGTGTTCCTTGAGGCTGCAGTCTCATCTGAGGCTTAGAGTTTTCTTCCAAGCTCATGTGACTGAGGCCCTCATCTCCTAGAAGCCACCAATTCCCCTTCCATGTGGCCCTGTCCATAGACATTTACTTCATAGTAACTTGTTTCTTCAAGGCCAGCAGGAGAGTCTCCTTCATGTGTGCTGGCAAGATTGTGTCAATTTACATTGGAATGTAATCATAGGAGCAAACCCATCACCTTTGCCTTGTGGCGTAACCTAATCCTAGAAGTGCCATCCCATCACCTTTGCCACATTCTTCTGGTTAGAAGCAAGTCCCAGGTCTTACTCACACTCAAGGGGTAGGGATTATGCAAGGGTGGGAATCACTGGGGTCACCTTAGCATGTGTCTGTCATGCTACTTTTGCTGATTTTTTTTCTTGTCTACTTTTCTTCACTAGAATGTGTCATGAGGGACTTTTATGTTTTGTTTTTGCTCAGTCTCCAATGCCTCTACTATGGCCTGAAAGTTAGTGGATGACCAACTAATATATACATATATTTTTTAATTAAAATTTTTATTTTGAGTTAATTATAGATTCACAAGAAGTTGCAAACACAGTACAGGGAGATCCCACATACGCACCACCCAGCTGCCCCCAATGGTGGCATCTTACATAACTAGTATACTACCAAAACCAAGAAATTGAGATTGGCGTGATGCAATGAACTGTCCACTGGCCTCACATGGATTTTACCTGTTTTGCATATGCTCTTTAAAAAAAAATCTTTGTGTATAACTCAGTGACACTTTATCATGTGTATAGATTCTTATAACTTTCACCACACTCAAAATACAAAGCTCCTATCACCACAAAGGAACTCTTTTGTACTGCCCCTTTCTCTAATCCATGATAACCACTTATCTGTTCTCCAGCTCTAGACTTTTGTCGTTTCTAGAATATTATAATTGGACTCATACAGTATGTGACCTTTCAATATTGACTTTTCCCTCCTACTCAAAATAATGCCCTTGAAGTTTATTCAAGTTGTTGCATATCAGTAGTATCTGTAGTTCATTACGAACAGTACCATTGCTGTGCTCCATTCTGTTGTATAGATGTACCAGTTTGTCACTAGTTTAGTCTTATGAAAGTTTCTTACTCAGGTATTTGGGGGAGATGGGTGGATAAGGAAAAAACTGCACATTCAGTCCCCCAGTTTCACACAATGGAGTTGTGAGTATCTGGGTTTTTGTCCCTTGTCACAGACATCCCATGGGGACATCTAATAAGGTTTGATGTGACCAGTTTACTGACCATTACTGACCTTGCTAGCCATCTTAAGCTACATTTCCCTGAAGCCTTCACTAGCTGAAAAGTATTTTTCAGTTCAACAAAAGTTCACTGGGATGAGCTGACAAGCTCCACAGTCACTTGCTCCATCCTAGATACAGTGACTCAGGCCAGAGTCAAGTGACATCACCTCAGGGTCAATGCAGTTCCTGCAGGTAACAAAGGCCAGGGATCAGGAGACCTCACTTTGGCTTCTGGCTCAGCCACCTGGCTCTCAGAGAGATCCTCCTCCTCCTCCTCGGGCTAGTCACCTGTCCCCTTGTTTGTCAATTGGGACCAGACAGAATGGGCCTTAGGAGTCCCCTAGCATGCAGTCTTCACCCTGACCCTGTGGCCTACTGATCAATTTATATTTATGAAGGAATGTTCAATAAGCACAGAATGGGACAAGTCCAGACAGTTGAAACTGTAGAATTTACACCAGTTAAGTAGAGCATTCATCCTTTGAGCCAGCCAGTGCATGAGGATGGAGTTTCTCAAGAGCTCTGGATCCAAGCAGTTGGGGCAGGACAGGGAGAGACACGTAGGAGTGGACAGAGAAAGATGTTTTGGAGGTGAAGCTTGCACTGGCTTTGATAACAGGCTGGGAGGAGTTTTGTTGCAGGCACAGAGCAGTGGGAGTAAAGCAACAGAAATGAGAAAGTACCAGGTCTGTATCAGGAACTGCAAGAGCTGGGCTGGGCTACGGAGAAGCACGGGCAAGGTCGTGAAGGAGGGGCACAGCCCAGGGGAAGGTGAGGGGAAGTGGGGCAGGAGTGAGGGTTGCCACCAACTATGGTGGCGCATGGCATGACTCCCTGTTGCCCTGTTGCTTCTTAGCTCCTCAAGCTGGGTAATGGCCTCCTGGAAAGTGGGCGCCATTACCTTGCTGCTGGCCGTGCCTTCATTGTCGGCATTTGTGACCTGGCCCACCTGGGTCCACCAGAGCCCATGATGGCGGTATGTTTAGGGCCCAAACCAGGGTGGGATGGGGTCTGAGATGAGAAGAGATCCTGTGGAAGCTGGGGGAGAGTTGATCTGGGGTTTGCAGGTCCCAGCATGGCTCCTGCTTCCATCGAAGACAGCCATAGTTGGCTGGTCTAAAGATGGGAGGGCCCTACCCTACCCCCCCCCCCCCCC